TTTCCACTATAGTAGGACTATAGTGGAAAGTTCTAGATTAAGAGGAACTAAATATTCCAACATTAAAATATTTAACAATAGTGTTTGAGAATTGAGAAGTTAGATAGTGAGTACTACTAACTATTGTTACTTCTTTTAATATTTTTAGTTCCACTAAATGAAGGCTAGATCTTTAGGCAAAACATATAAATATTATAAGAAATTTAAAAATAATGCATATATTTTATTGGTGTTTTGTCTGATTATATATTTTTTATTAAAAGTGCTTATCTTATCCCAATGGATCCATTTAATTTGAGTATTAAGAACTCCTCAGTTTGTGGGAAGTATTTAAAGATTCTGAAAAATTTCAAATATTCAAAAAGTTGGTCACTTTTGAATCTTTTCTGTTTTTCTTATTGCCAAGTGTGGCCTAATCATTGATGAACGTAATGATTTTTATAAAAAAAAACACAAGACCTGTAAGTGGAAGAACCCACAATTTTTATCATTTTTAAAAATTGTGATCAACTTAGTTTTTGTTAATACAAACATACTAACTTAGTTTTGTGTATGGCAATGGTACTACAAAACTGACATTCAGAAAATACTTAGCCACTCTAAGTACTTTAAAGTACCATCTTAAATAAACTGTACTTAATTGAAAGTAATTGTAATTCTAAGAAATATCTGATTAGATTATTGAACTCTTGAATGCAAATGCAATATTGTAATAATATCGCGTGGATTTAATGTAGGTTGATTCAACCATGCCTTATAATTGCATGTTGTCACTATAAGACATAAATCAAAGCACCTACCCGACAAAGAGTTTGTGTCGGTGTTGGATTGCAAAATAATATGCTGGTAAATAATTTAGATAGGAGTAGAAGTTAAAAATTAAAAGAAGTATACATTAAGCAGTAAAAGTTGAAAAGAAGTAAATATAAAGCGAAAAGCATTGTTCGAAATAGTTCGAAAATGAACAATTCATACATTTAAAGAGTTCTAAATATTTAAATTTGTACACAATTTGGTCTTATAAATTTATCTTTAAAAATGCTAATTTATTAGCATATATTTTCAAACAAAACTAAATAAAGTAGTGTTTGATAATTTTATAAGCATATATTAAATATGAAGACAGTTTTCCAATTGACTGCATCAATTTAAATTTTAAAATAAACTGATAATTTGTATGTATTTTCCTTTGAGCAAAATATCCAACTTCCAAGAGATTACAATTCCAACTTCTGATTTTTTCTATTTTTTTATTTATTGACAAGTAATCTTCAGTCCGGTTGTTAAATGTTCTATGCGAGTCTATCCATTCCCAACTTCTTGTACATTTTTGTATTGATCTGGTCAATATCTTCCATAATGGCTTTAATATCAAATATTTCCAATTTGCTGAAACTATTGCTGATTACATGATCGAGACGTGCAATTTCAGTCCTGAGGAATTCCACTCTTGCCATACGACGAGTGTCTTCGTTGTCGCCAGCTTCACCAATATTCGACAGATCAGGATCCTATTCAAATAATATTTATTTAAATAATACATTTTTATTTGTAACTTCAATGACAATTATATATTTCCCCAATTTGCTAATTGTATGACCTCTCAACGTTTCAAGTATGCTCAACACCAAAATTGGAAAAAGTATATATGTGAGCCAAAATTTCACCTCGTTCTCAAAAACGGCTGCACCAAAATCAACAAAAATTAAGAAACTGAGTTTGAAAATTATATGTTTTTCCTAAGAACCTGGTATTTCAAAGTAGATAGTTGAAAATGTTACCATCACAATTTTAAAAGTAATTAAATCTGAATTCATATTGATTAAGTCAATGCATGACACGTTCATGCAACTTGTTTTAAGGGAAAATGCCACTTACACCCAATTAAATATTAAATTCACTAATTTTGAAGTAACGCGGTTCAAAAAAGATGCCATCGTTTAAACAAAAAGATTTTAAACACTTACTTTTACGATGATAAAGTTTATTTCTTGAACTAACCAAAACTGTTGTAAATTCCAAATTTAAAAAGGTAATGTGGGGCACATTGCTTCGAACAAAACAAATAATACTGCAGCGGCGAAATTATATTTTAACAAACTTCCAATTGGCACAGATTAAACTACAACAGCATTTTTTACACGAAAATATATAAATATGACTTTTATTAGCGACTTTTTAATTTAAATTGCATTTTAGTGATATCGGTTGATTATACCAAAAATACCACATATGGAGCACTCTGTTACAGGGCAAAGGAACCACAATGTTGTCACATCAAAATAGCAAAAGAAAAAACAATAATATATGAACAATCGTTTAACAAATATTAAATTTCATATATAATTTTATATAAAAATCTGTCTGACCTTTAGTTGTCATTCTTGCAACGTTTACAGGAGGAGAGGAAGTACTCCAAATGAAGAAGAAACTACAGTCAATAATTTATTTATACTCCGACTTTTTCTTACGATTTGGCACTGTTTTCTTAAAAGAAAAGAAACAAAATTGTTAATTAGGTTTTATTGTTACAACTTAACATCGTGCCTGACGTGCGACAACTCGAAAAACGTATCAAGTCAGCCATTTTGGTTTATGTTTACAAAACTTTTTTAACTATAATTTGAAGTTAAAATATATAATATATAAGAAGCATGGAAAAACCACAATTACTTACCTATATAAATCATACACCAAGAAATGAATAGAAAAACCGTTTGCACAAATTATTTACACAAATTGTTTGTTATTTCAGAAACACTAAATAAATTTGGCAGCATTTTGGCCGGTAACAGCAACAACGGGCAAAAACTGTTTAATCACTTTCCTTATCTATAATGATGGACGCTTATGAAGTTGCCTAAACTGTATACCAACATTAAGAAAGTAAAATACAAAATCAGAAATATTTATATTGTAACAGTGTGCCCCATTTCACCTTAATTTTCTTGTAAAAAATATAAAGATAAAAGTTTATTGTTTGATAACAAAATGTTTTTGAAATTTATACAAAAAGTTTAGATCAAATAGTGAAACTGGAATGCTGGCGCACGAAATACGTCTGCATATTATATAATATGAATAGCATCAAATACGTAGTGAAATATAAATATGTAAGTAGATCCTTTCAGTGCATGTTACTAAAAAAAAAGCAATAAATTCTATTTCATATTAAAATATTAATAAATACACGAGTGTGTTATTTAATATTATTGTCCCTTGCCGCCTCATATGGGGATATAGCTCAGTGGTAGAGCATTCGACTGCAGATCGAGAGGTCCCCGGTTCAAACCCGGGTGTCCCCTAACCATTATTTTTAATTTTATTTAACAACAGCATATAATTGAATATCATAAATGATTATACTTTCTGACAAAAATCAAGTAATTGTTCCATATAATACCTTCATTATTGTTTGCACAAACTGCCGAATATCCAGATTATCATTGTTGGATAGGATACTTGTTTCTGAACTCATTGTATGTTTTTGAATTATTCTGATTATTATCAGTTCATTGAAATTTGTTACAAAAAAATTAAAATAAATGCTGTCGAATTATAGATCACTTGGATAAAATGATTTCTATTGAATACAAGAGCACTTGCAGGACAAGTGAATATCAAGAAGTTACATATTATAAATTATATACATTTGGTAAATTTAGATTGATGATTGATTGCTAAATTCAAAACATATACAGGTGTACAAAAATAGAACATTTTAAAAATATTCATTAATCTTGATATATATAAATATATCAAAAGAATTGAGTGAAAAGAATCTTTGAAAATATGAACACACTGCAATGTTTATTAAGTAATATTTACATTATATTTTAAAAATGTTTCGAGAGTACAGTTTATCTCCTCTTCAGTGTAAATACAAAATATTTAGTTCATAGTATACTTAGCATGTGAACATATTTAAATAATATTATTTACACTGCCAAAGAGGCAAGTGTAGTCTCGAAAAGCTTGTAATATTATTATTAAATGCAGTGTGTTCATATTTGTATTATATATATATATATATATATATATATATATAAATCCGATTATTTCTATATCAAATATTTCACAGAATATTTGTAGATTTATGTATCAAAGACTTACCATTATCTCTCATAATATTAATAAATGCAAGCGTCAGGTAAATATATAAATCAAAGACTTGCCCTCCATACATTGAAGGCACACCTTAACAGCATAATTAACAAGCACATCTACCATACACACAAAATTAACTGTACTCATGAATATTACTAAAATGTTTTACTGAAAAATCCAAAGAACTAAAAAATTTTTTCATAATAAACAAGCACATCTGCCATATACAAAAAATTCACTTTACTCATGAGTATTACTAAAAAGTTTTACTGAAAAATCCAAAGAACTAAAAAATTTAATACTGTATTATTAGCAAGAGATTGAAACGTAAGAATTAATTAAAATAAAAGTATATTACAAACTAACTAATCACACAAACACCAAAACAGTAAATGCAAACTAAATAATAACTTCTTAAGACTGAAATTATCCATTCATTCTTCCAAAATGCTTAAATATTTTATATTCAAATTGGTCAACCTTGTAATTTCAAAACAAAAATACTCTTTGTATAAATGAACATCATACTTGATTTAAAAAATTATGGCAATCAACCAATGGAACAATTTACTGCCTCATGTTATATAAATTGTTTTTTAGGGGGTAACACAGCTTTAAGTTTTAATTTAATTCAAATTCATGCCAAGCACACAAAAATACAATATTTTTAAAGTTTTTTTTGTATATTAAATTATTTTTCTTACTTTACTGTTATAATAAATAACTGTTTTCAATATAATGGAGTTATCAAATCCTTTTACTAGAAAAAGGTCACAAAGACAGGTTTTTAGGCTGTAAAATCCCATTATGAAAGGTTTTTAATTTCATCGATGTTATTACATGATCACAGCAATTCTGAACAAGCACAAATTGAAAGGGCATAATTAAAAATATTTTTTTTTATTTGAGAAAGTTTTTATTATGTTATATTTAACATAGAATTAGGTCTATTTATCCTTCTTAGCCGCTTTAACACTTGCTTGTTGTGCTTTAAGAACTTTTACGACTATTTTCTGTTCTTCAATTAGGAAAGCCCTGACAATACGTTCTTTTACACACTTGTGGCAGAGTACTCCACCATATGATCTACGTACTGTCTTCTTTCTTCTGCACATTCTGGATCTTTCCATGGGCCTGGCAGGCTGGATGCCTCTGAGCTTGTCTTTGCATTGTCCACACCTATAATCATATTTGTTAAAGTAATTCAAGAAATACTATGAAATTACATTGGTACGAAAGTGTAGGAACACACTTGAGTCAAATATTTAAAACTTTTGTCATATGCGATACTGAATATATCAATTTAATTGGAACAGATTTTTATATACTTATATGGCAATTATAAAATAAATGAAAATTTATGAAATAATTACCTGGGGATCTTCTTGGGTTTCTTCAAATATTGATACACTAGTTTACCACCTGGAGTTCGGACACTGAAAAATAAAAACCATTTAGAAATCTGATATTGCACACACGAATAAAGCACTTAATTCAATATTTGTCAGCAGAACATTTGTCATCAATATTAACAGGACTCTAGCCAATAATTCATCATATAAAAGTAAAAAAGAAAAGTGAACTGTTAAATGTCAACATAACCTCAAATTCCATTAGAGGCAAAAAATAAAGAATTCATAATATACATTGCAATTATTTTTACATTAACATTTAATATATATTAACATTACTAATTATAGTTATACTTACACCCTCCTTCTGTTAGATTTTGTGTTGTACGACAAACGTCGTCGGTATACTAAACGCTGCACCATTTTAGATCTACAAAAACAATACGAAAATTAAATTCACAAAACGATTAGATTTCAATAGTATCATATGCTCGACATCTCATAATTAATTTACACTTCACACAAAACTCGATTTTTTAAGATTTAATAAATTTAATAAATAATAACACAAACCTATCCCAGTGTTGGAACGGAAAAGGAAATCCGAAAGACTTTTATGTCACTGAGTGACAGAATCTACTTATGCGGGCAACTTCAAGAACTTGAAACAGATGATGACAACATTCGAAAATGGAAATATATACTTGAACTAAATTAGGTGGCGGGCAAGCTTGGAACTGTCGCGATTGAAATAATGAAATTTCCAGAAATTACTTTCTTTAATATCGAATTACAGGCACAATTTGGTCACACTCAAATTATAAAAATATATTGATGAATATTATTTGTTTAAATTTAATTGCAATCTATTTATTGAAAACAATATATTGGCAATTACTTTTTAATTAGTTAATTTCACGACAAGGTCTTGAAAAAACTTTTATTGTCATTTATATTTATTTGCAGGCAATTATATTTTTTGTAAGGAGATATAGTTAATTGAGAAACAAATAGATAATTTTTTGTACTCCAATTACATTACTCGTACTCTAATTACATTAATTGCTGTTTGGAAGTTTCCACAGGATTATTGTTATTATATTATTGAGTACTATAAAAAACCTTTTCTTAGTTATCAAGTATAAAACAACTTTCTCAAATAAATGTTTAAACAGTACAACATAGATCAAAAAACGAATATATGAGTACAAGCAGTACAAAATATCTATTGCTTAAAAAATAACAATCTACCCTCTATTATTTTATAGAAATATTTGAAAGAACTTGATATTATTAATTTAAAACATAAAAAGGCACAAACTACGTCAAAACAAATAGAAAATATTACCATGAATAGCCATACAAGAAATACCATATTTTACCACAGAACTAATGCCGTGTTGTGCGACAAATCCGCTAGGAGAGAGTGTGCCCGGTACCTAATATTTAATAAAAATAAATACCCTAAATACCAAATGTTTTTTAAACAAATTAATTTTCACTATCAATTTAAATATACCTTAATTTAATAAAAATACTGTTTATTAACTAATTTAATATTTACTTATCATTCCTTTGAGTATTTTTAAATCTTTGCTACAGTTGGTCATACTGACACATTTCTTTGCGAATATTCCTTTTTAGCAATTTCTGTCTTTTCTCTCCCGTATCTTCAGTCTCGAGAAAAGCCACGTTTTGATTGTACAATTTATTTTCTAATAAGCAAACGAAATGGCTTTTGGTGATGTGAAAACTGAAAAGGGCCAACAGGCCTTAAACACCTTTTTAGCTGATCACAGTTACGTCGAAGGGTAATATATTTAAACCGACATAGTTAAATTTTAACCTATATTATATTCTTAAGTTGATTTATTTTATTAGATACGCGCCATCAAAAGCCGATGTTGATTTATTCAATACTTTGCCAAAAGCACCAGGTGCTAACTTAGTACATTTAGCCCGTTGGTACAGGCATATTGCTTCGTACACAAAATCTGGTGGAGACTCAGCCGGTTTCCCAAGCCTTACTTGCCCACTGGCAGCTGGTGCAAAGACTACCACACAGAAGGATGATGACGATGATGATGTTGATCTCTTTGGAAGCGACAATGAAGAAGATGTAAATAATCTCTCATTTTATCTATGTCTATTTTGAGTTGAACTTTAAGCATATTTTTTTCTATCAGGATGCTGAAGCAGCTCGCCTTCGTGAAGAAAGAGTCAAGGCCTATGCTGACAAAAAATCAAAGAAACCTGCTTTAATTGCCAAATCCTCAATCGTCTTAGATGTCAAACCATGGGATGATGAAACTGATATGAAAGAAATGGAAAAGGTAAAAAAAAAACTTCTTTGCAGTCATAATGAATTTTAATGATTGAATATATAATTATTTCAGGTTGTTCGTTCCATTGAAATGGATGGCTTAGTTTGGGGAGCCTCAAAGTTAGTCCCAGTTGGTTATGGAATAAACAAATTGCAGATTATTTGTGTTGTAGAAGATGACAAAGTATCAATTGATTTGTTGACTGAAGAAATACAGAATTTTGAAGATTTTGTGCAGAGTGTTGACATTGCTGCCTTCAATAAAATTTGATTTGTTAATTAAATTTTAATAAATGCGTTGAACTAATATTGTCTTTAAAGTAGTAAAACTTACAATTTTAAAAGTAATTCCAGGATTATAATCTGCATTATGGAACTTTAATGCTCAATTATGCTCCATGAAAACTTGGTGACTAACTTTTATTATATATCTTACAATGCAATAATTAATTTAAAAACATTACAATTTTATATAAAAATTTTAATATACTTGCAATAACACTCCACAAGTTCAGATCATAATTTATTTAAGAGTATCTAAACTTCATATTTGTTTCAACTAAGTTTACATATTTTGTTGCCAGTGCAAATATTGTAAATCAGGGTGTTTTAAAAATTAGTTTAGTTTAAAAATTTTAATATTGTGTAGGTACCAAACACATGCTTATTATTTTTAAAAAAATCATAATTTATTAAGGGGCTGTTGAAGTATTACGTAAGCACTATAGGGGGGCAGGGGGGTTGTTTTGTTTATTTTGGGTTGTCATGGGGGGCAGGGGAGTCTGGATGATGATTACGTCATAGGTAGTATTTTTATTTTTTTACATTAATTGCAACAAAATGGGGTAAATAATTGTAATAAATCTGCTTACATAATACTTGAACAATCCCTAAGTAGTATTACTAATTTTATTAAATTAATAGTACTAAAAAAAAATATTTAATACACTGATCTAGATAATATTTGCAATTTTACAAAATTATTCACATTGCGACTGAAAGTAAACTAAAAATTACATTTTTAGAAATCAAAATCATATTTATTATGAAAATATTTTTATTTATGAAAAAAATATTCATGCAAGCATGAGCATTGTATACACAAACAATTATCAAAAATATTTGGAATTTCATCAATCTTACAAATATATAAATATAAACATAGGTACTATATATCTAGAAAGTTAACATCAACACACAATATTAGTCAACAGATTATTAAATTGAACAAAATGTGGGCATTTGAAATAATCACATTTATATAGTTGTCAAAAGAAAAAATCATGTTTAAAACGATGACAAATTGTTAAATCTATCAGCAATATGATGTTGCTTGATGGATGGATAAAAACAACAATGAATTGCTCAACATATTAAATCCCACACTAAAATTAAATTTGCTTAATATTAAAAATCAGTAATAAGAAATCTCTTATTTTATAAAACTAATGATAGGTAATATTAAAAGATCTAAGCAATGATTATTTTATCCAGCTGGGCCAATTAAAAGTTACCTATGTTTAAAAACAGTACTATGTATTCGATCATAGATAAAATTTAATTGGTATTTCCCAGTTGGATACCTACATCCAGTAAATCATGCAAAAATAGTTACTTAATCTAAACAAATTCAAAATTTCATTCTAAATTCATAAATTAGTTATTGAAAACATTTAAACAATAAATATTAAATTTAACGAAAACTAAATACCAAATCAGTTTGAAGAACTTTAAAACTTGAAATTCAAAAAGAAAGTATTATTGCATTGTCTTTAGACTTGACTATCTACTATCAATATGAAACACTCAGTCAATCACATTCGAGGTACAAATAAATTCAGTCATTTTTACATACCCTCTATTTCAGGATATCTCAAGCAAATATGCTAAGTGATCTTAGACCTAACTAAAAATTATCACAGGTCATTTCGCAAAATTGAGTTAAATTGGTTCAAAAATGAAATCAACATTATCACAAAAAATAAACAAAACAAATAGTTACTTGCGTCATTGGTATCATTTGGAAGGTACAGCATAGATTTATACTGAGGCTCATTGGTCTATAAGATGTATCACAAAAACTTTAAGGCCAGAGGTCAGAAGAAGAAAAGTGGCGTCTCTCTGCGCCTGGTGCAACATTTAATGAAGTCATATTAATATCACCAGTTGAATGCAATGGGCCACGTGATGCTTTGTTGGTGTAATCAGCAGCGGCCATTAGCATGCGTCGACGAGCTCCCCAAGCTTTGATTCCGATTTGGATCAAATCATGTTCATTTAGAGAGCAGAATGTCTTCAGATCAATTTCATGAGATTCAAATATTTCTGTAAAAGTATAGAAATGTAAATAGTTGAAACAAATAAGGTAACAAAGAAAATTTATATACACATTTTTTTATTTGAAAGATAACATTCAGTATATGTACTTGCATGAATAAGTTCATGCTTATTCATTACAAATTAGAATCATGATTATAGATCTTAATAGAACTAACCAATATATTTTTCAAGACCATTAGCAGCCAGAAGAACTGACAAATCATTCTTATTCATAACTTCGATTTGACTACCATGATTAGTTACATTTCCTGGACCAGTCAACGAATTTCTCATTGGAGAAGACATGGTGACTTGATGTGTAGGTGCCCAAACATCATCATCCTCCGTAAAAATAGATTGGAGACCTAAATGACATCAAAATAATAGAAAAATATATTATGTAAGATACTTAAAATAATAAATGGCATGTTAGTTTAAACAGCTGTGGTATTTTCAATAATTTGGTAATATTAAGTATGTAGTAAAAAGCTAAGTACATTTATAAGTATTATAAATAGTACACACTAACCTTGCGAAGTTTGACTGAACCCATATCCAGCCCAGTTGGAATTGGGAATTCTAAGTTCTCCTGCTGGAGGAATATTCAAAGCTTTCAAAGCCATCATTTTCATTCGCGCCATTTCTGGAGTTATTCCAGATTCTGTTTTAGTAGAATTACCAATAGTTTTAGATAATCCTTTGGGAGTATTCATTGCCTGTTTAGTAAGAAACAAAAATATAATGTACATAATTTATAAGAATTATTCAATGTAGAATAACCGCTACAAGCAGATTACTTGCATGTGGATATATGATTACAATTTGATTGAAAATAATTGTTCTGAATTTATGTACCTTTTCACATCCAGGAGCTCTTCTATCCGTAGTCGACAAGTCATACATTGAGGCAGTGAGATCATTTATGGCACTAGTAGAACCGACTCCACTTGTGGATCCAAGAGAGCTATATTGCGAGTGATGATTAGTAGTAGAAGTAGTTGATAGTGATCCAGGAGAATTATTTCTTGGACTGTTGGATAAAGAACAGCTAGAATTTGGGAATTCTAATGAATTGCTGCTACTACTAGTATAACTCTGGTATCCTGATGAATCTTGACTAGAATCTACATTACTCAGTACACCAATTCCCTAAAATTGGAAATAAAGTTATCAATTGCTCACAATGAACACCAAAATCAATAATCAACCATTAGTTTGTAAATATCATGATTAATGTATTAAAAGTCATTAGAAGTAAATCTTGAATTTATTAGATTTAATAGTAAAACTTACTTGCAATGATCTCAGTTTAAATGGTTGAGGTATACTTGAAGTAGGTGAAGCGGCTGTCGGTAAAGCAGTTGGTAGAGCATAAGTAAATGGACTACCAAGAGGATTCCAAGGCAATGGTGACAAAACAGGTGATAATGGTGGTTGTGATAATATTGGAAGAGCAATGGTTTCTGCACCACTCGGTACATGATATGATGGGGGTATGTCAGCTACAATTCTGGGTTCAGTAATATTCAGAAGTTTGTTACGGGCTTCATACATTTTTGCTAAAAAGAATAATGAATAAGTAATTGTTATGTTATATAGAATTAAATATTAACATATGAATTTGAAATGGACTTACTTGCATTCCTCTCAATCCCTTTAATAATAACGGACATAGTATTTTGTTTGGGTTTATGACGAACTTGAATTACCAGATCTAAAGATTTCATTAAATTATTTATGTTATCTGGGTCAGTCGTGCCTACGTTATCTGGCAAGTCAAACATCATCACAAGAGGCAGTGAACCCTGTTAATAAGAATTAGTAGTATTATGAAATCAAACAATTACATATAAAAGCAAAAAAAAAAAACTGAAGTGAGCACTCACAATTAGCTGTTGCCTAGCACTATAAACTCCATCGATGTTTCCAATTATTGTCACACAGCTGCGTCTCAAGGATGGGATGTTTGGGTCTAAAGCGTCTGGAAACATTATTTGAGTTTGAGTGCGTTGCATGATTCCTTTCAATTGCAGTGAATTAGTCCCAAGAACAACAGCATGATGTTGGGGTGAGATCTCGATAGTCATTTGCACATTGATCTGATTCTGAAAAAAAAAAATCATAATAAGATTAAGCAAAAATACTAATAATGGAATATTTCATTTCAGATGAGGATAAGAAAATTACATATATTTTGCATGAAATTTACATAAACAATATTATATTAAAGTAATTGGTAAACTTACAGCAACAGAATCACACATGTATTTGATGAGCAACATGGTAGCCTTTTTCACATTAACCACATCACGTTCATGTCCTTTCACAACCACCAGGGTAGCATGTAATTTAGGCCGCGAACGAAACATTACCTATGTAAACAAAATTAAATATTATAAAATATATTAAATATTATAAATATTTATAATTCAATAAGTTTAAATTTAAATCCAATAAAAAGTATTTGATTAAGAAATAGGCAAGATCAAGAAATATAATTGATGAAGAAATAGACGGCCTTAAGTGGTAAAATTAGAATCAAAACAAATTAAAAAAAACTTGTTAATCTTAAAATTGGGATTGCATATAATGTTTAATTATTTATTATTCAATATTGGTGTATTCATTAATTTTGAACTTACTTGCACATTGTATCCCTCCTGAATTTGTTGAACGCGAGGAGAGTTGAGATCAGGGACGGTCTGGTTGGCCCCAAGAACAGGCAACTCGAAACTGAAAATAAGCGGAGTGACTGCACGAAGACTAGCTCGTGCCTTCTCCACTCCTGCAATGTCGCCTGCGATTGAAACCTGGTTGCTTTTCTCGTTAGGATTTGAACGGTTCGAGTCAGGAAAATGTATGTGGCAGCCGGTTTCGTCCATTACTTTCTGAAAATGTTAGATTCGTAATTAGTTTTGAGCCACATTTTGGTAAAAGAAATATTTGAAATGCTTACCTTAATCGTCAAACCCCCTTTGCCAATTATGTGGGAGTGTTCAGTGTAGCTCACGTCTAATTTCATCGTCACTCGAGCTCCCTGTTTCAAGATTTAAAATTATAAATAATTTATAAGAAAAATAAATGATATACAAATATACATAAATACATATACATATCATACATACAGATATCACTCATACACATATGCATATATACAAAATATAATACCCAAGGGTAGACTTATGTACCAATCCACCATCATGTTGTAACCATTATACATATTGAAATATATCTTTTTAAATTGAAAAATTGCATATTTATAAATATATGATATAAGTGTATTACTTACACGGGCGTCCAGAATGGCCAGCACTCTTTGTCTTGCTTGTTGAATATCAAGTAGTCGTCCAGCGATCCTTACATGGGGGTCTATAGAAGTAAATTAAAAATTAAAGAACATGATATTATATAAAATAGATCACTGTTAGATTAGAATAGAAGAAATTCAACAGATAACAGAAATAAATAAGAGTTTCAAACACATATTTTGCACATAAAATAAGTAAGAAATGAAAAATAAATTAGTAAAACATACCAGGATTAGACCAAGCAGATCTCGAAAAATCAAGGAACATTTTCAGAATAGTTGTAAAGAAGATGCGTCAAATTAGGAGCTGAAAATTTCAATAATTCAAACCATAATATAATAAGAAAAACATGCAATAATACATATAAAAGAACATAAGAAAGTATAAAATTTATATAATTTTAATAGAAATAAAATTGTAAGATACAGGTGTAGTTAAAGAAAAAAGAAAATCATAAAATTTTAATAAATCACGATAAAAACTAGATGTGTTAGTAATAAAATTGAACCAACATAAAATATCAAATCGTAATTTTGTTACGGTTACTAACTGGGCTGTGAATATTGTACAAAATTTTCGCAAGATATCTCGGAAAAAGGGTTGCGTTCAGGTATAAAGTCGCGCGGCGACCAGAATTTTTCCTGTTGCTAAGCGCACATTCGTCATGATGGAAATTAATCAACATTTTATATTGTAAATTTATATTTGTTGAGAAAAATAATAAAAATTGCATTTAACAAAAATCCGTACATAATGAAATTGTTTTAAAAAATCACATCAAAAATTTAGTTACTAACTGGGCTGTGGATTGCACGAACATTTTCAAGAGCGGCGATCATGCGATCTCTCGGAAAAAGGGTCGCGTTCAGGTAGACTATTGCGGCGACCAGAAAATTTGGCCTGTTGCTAAGCACACTTTGTCATGATGGAAATATAATCATTTTATATTGTAATTTTATATTTGTCGAGAAAAATAATATGAATTGATTTTACAAAAAATCTGTACGTAACAAAACTGAATAAAAAAATCAAATCGTTATGTGGGCTGTGGAATGTGTGCACAAACATTTTCAAGAACGGCGATCATGCGATCTCTCGGAAAAAGGGTTGCGCTCAGGTATAAAGTCGCGCGGCGGCTAGAATTTGCCTGTTGTTAAGCGCACTCCATCAAGATGGACATGAATCATCATTTTACATCGCAATTTTATATTTGTTGAGAAAAATAATATTAATTGGATTTAACAAAAATCTATACGTAACAAAATTGAATAAAAAAATCAAATCGTTATAATTTAGTTACTATGTGGGATGTGGATTGCATAAACATTTTCATGCGATCTCTCGGAAAAAGGGTCGAGTTCAGGTAGATGGTCGCGACGACAGAATCATTTCGTTTGTTGCTAAGCGCACTTTGTCATGATGGAAATATAATCATTTAATATTGAAAATTAATATTTGTTGAGAAAAAACATAATTTGGATTTAACAAATAGCAAAATTAAATAAAAAAATCAAACCGTTAAAATTTAATCACTATGTGGGCTATTTATATTCGTTGAAAAACCATTAGCAATTAAGTTGAATAAATATTCCATAACAAAATGAAATTATAAAAAAAATTAACCGATATAATTTAGTTACTATATTATTGTATATTGCACAAACATTTCCCAAGAACGGCGATCATGCAATCTCTCGGAAAAAGGGTCGCGTTCAGGTATACGGTCGCGGCGACAAGAAAAATATTTCGGTTGCCAAGCGCATTTCGTCAAATATAATCATTAATATTTATTAACAAATCTAGTTAAATAATTTAGTATGAATAAAAAAATACTTAAAAGAAAACGCACTATAAATGTATTTATAAAATGTATATGGCTTTCCCCTAATATGTAACAAATTATTCCGACTATGATGAAAAAGTTGAAAACCTCAAAAGAAAACGCACTGTATTAAAATATTAACACTTAAAAAAACTACTACGCAACATAAAATTATTAATTTTCAAAAAAACGCACTTCGTCACATTTATAAAAAAAACGCACTCTAAATAAATTGAAAATATTCGCAAAAATCTAAAACCGCACAAAAACCGATAATCGTTTACTATTAATGAAAAATCTTCAAACACAAAACCACTAATAATATATTTTATAAATACCTTAATTATTGTCCGAGTTTTCCAAATAGTTGTTGCTTCGACGAAGGTCCAAATTGAAAAGACTGATCCTGGACCTCGACGAGAAAAACGCATAAGAAAATTGGAGTAGGGATGAGATTTCCACCACTTTTTCATATTCATTTTCCGCCGATTTTCGTGCGAGGTTGCCAATGCGACCCATGCACGCGGGTTCGAAAACGGTCGCAAGCAGGTAGAAATAATTGTAGGACGATCATAGCGCGATTATATATCGGAATTAAACGTTTCCTAATATGTGTTGTAAATTGAATAAAATGAAATCAAATTTAATTCATTTCAAAGTTTTTTTGTGGTGAATTAGGTATTTATTATTTTTATAGATAGGCGATCAGTCATGTTTTTGTAACGCCAAATTGCCTTAAATATTTAAACAAAATTATTACTATTATAAAATAATATACAAATATTTATTAGGATCTGTAATATTTTTTCCAATTTTATAATGTATATTGCAATTGTTAGATCACCAAACGCCTACATATTGGGTACCAAATAATTAAATAAAAAAATTGAATTATCGATATAAAATAATTTAATAAGATTTATCACGATCTGTCTAGTATTTCTCCAATTTTAATATATTATAAATGTATGTTATTATGCAGGTGGCTCGAATAATTGAATAAATAAATATAGTACAGATCATGAAACGCCTACATCTTGGGTTTATTCTCAGCACCAAAGCTTCGGTTTGATAATTTAATAAATTAAGTAATTTATAATTAGGAAAAATCTAAACCACTTAATTGACTGATAATGAAGCTCCCTAAATTTGCTCGAGGATTGAATTAATTTTATAATATATTAAATGTAAAAAAATACGTCACAAAATGCCATTAGGTATTTCATGCAACATAAAGAAGAATAAATACATAATTTAGAAGTGATGAAGAAATGAAAAACATTAACGAAGAAACTTGCATTTATATATTTTAGCTACAGCAAATATGTTTATGTAGATGTAACTAAAAATGTTATAAAATTTTTTATGCCAAATTGTATACAAAATTATAATTAACCCTAGAAGACTTATGTACTTTTATTAGATACTTTTGTTATGAGAATTTTGAAAAAATGAAAAGTCTATTTATTACTAAAATCACTTGTTAAGCACAATACCATTCTAGGATTAATTTAGAGATTTTTTACTCAAATCGCAAAGTTTAATTAATCATCAAAAATATAAATGCAATGTCATTTTTTTTTATTCAGACAAAGATAAAAAAATAGTTAATTAGGTCCTTCTCACCCTTTTTAGATTTTGCTCCAATCTTTAATCGTGAAGGCCAGCTTATGTACGTGTTTGTCTCATCCATAATCTAAATGAAGAAAATAAATTAAGAAAATTAGATGTTATAAAAAAAGTCAGAAAAAATATAATATAGTTGTTATATTAGTTGTTATATTATATAGTTGTTACTAAATAATGAATATAATAAAATTGAAGTAATAACTCTAATTGAAAGGGATTTAAAAAGAAAGACTTAAAAAAGAAAAGAGGACTTAAAAAAAATATAAAAGTAAGAATGATTCATTTACGTACGATATAAACTAAATGAATTAAAATCCATTATATGAATGTTATACAATTTTTACAAAAGTAACATAAATATATACAAGAATGAAATACCTTTTGGAAAAACGTCACCGCCGTCTCCGCTGTTTCTCCCTCGCCTGTAACAGTTTTTACATCATTTTAAAAAAGGTAATTTTTTTTTAAAGTTATTATAAACATACATATTTATACAACACAATAATACAATTATAGATATTAATGGTACATAATTTAAGTTAATACATATTAATACATACTATATTAAATAAAATACAATTTAAAAATCAAATGTTTACTCATAAAAGTTTCGACTTTTATATGAACGTCGAAAAAACAAAAAAAAAAACAGAATAATTTACTAAAAGTAATAACTCAAATACTCATCAATAGAGTAAAAAAACTTGTTCTTTAAAAAATGTGTCAAGTAATTTATAAAATTTCCCATTTCCAACTTCTCTAATACCTAGTGGCAACTTATTGTGAAGCATTATGCCCAGACTGAGGAGGCGAGTAATTAATTGTTAATTGAAAAAAAAAGCAAAATACTCAATGAAATCATTTAAAAATCTATTTCTAGTAACGAGACGCCATCTAACATTTGTTTCGGTTTATTAACTTTCGGTAGGGCAAATTATAGTAATCGCAAAAAATCGAAAATGAAAATTTTTATATATTTTACGTTTCAAAATGTTCTGAATATTTTGGCATACCTTAGAGAAAATGGATGTATGTGTGTTCGGATCAACCGATTTGAATGGTTCAAAAAACATTCGATTCTTATTGATAGGGAGATGAGCTGATTAGTTTTTGGCAAAAGCAGGCCCAGCCATTTCAAAGATACGGAGCTAAATGTAAAAAATGGCAGTTTTTGAGAGAACTAAGCGTCCGATTTAAATTATTCAAAGAACTTTCTGCTTGTTCTAACAAAAAATTTGATTTTGGAAAAAAAATTTAGTTTCAACTTTTTTTTAAAAAAAAAAAAATTGTTTTTGTGTATCGAAAATATTTCAGATTTTATTTTTAATTCTGACTATAGTTCTAATATACTTTAAACAAATAATTTCAACTTTGCAATTCAGTTTATATAATTCTTATAAATATTAGACAATGTTACAATATTAATAATAATCTATTTGAAAGCATTCAGTACTCGTCGAATATTTCGTTACGGTACGGGAAGTTTCAGCAATTTGCCTTAAGGCACGATGCCACACACCCCACTAGTTTCGATTTATTTGGAAGTTATAATCTTATACCTAGTTATATTATAGTTATAAGTTAGATATACAGTTACCAGCTTATTATACAGCTATTAATGAGAATTGCACTTTCAAATGAAAAAAGTTCTATTTTCTTATCCCTATTTTAGTTATCTTACCCATAATCATCTGTTCCAAACGGCGCCGATCAACTCGGAATCGTTCTTCGTGCAATTCATCCTGGCTGCTCAGCCCCAAAGCGGTGACCAGGTCCCGCACCTCGACATCAGCCATGGAGGACACTTCGCTCTGCGTGTCCGAGGACCAGGCGTGCATCGTCTGCTGCTGGCCGCACTGCAGCGAAGACAGGGACGGAGGGGCGAGATAGCCCGACACTTGCATCGGGATCATAGCGGAGACGGTCTGGGTGGGTTGAATAGAAACAGTTTTAAGGTATGGGTCGAAAAAAATCAATAGATATTAGCAAACATTCATTAAAATGATAGGGTACTTTTCTGTGTTATCAATCCAGTCACATTTTGTCTTCGATATAACATAGGACAAAGCTTCAGTTATCTAAAATAGGATCCAGGAACAGAAATAGGAAGGCCATGTTGGATAAAAGTAATTATACAAATTCACATGGTGAGAGTGACTCATTTTTTATGAATCATCATATTATTGTTGACTTATATCAATACTACCATTTTTATTCTTTTACTATTCATTAAACACGAGAATTTTAAAATTATTTTTTAATGGTATTTTGTGTAACCTTGTTAAACGACAGCCTAACTGAATCAGTACTCAGTCTTTTCAGTTGTTTTCATGCATTTATTTAAATTTAATCAAAATTTCAGAAAATGAAAAAAAAAAAATGCATGATGTAAAATACTATTTGTTATTTCTATATTTGCTTTATTAAAAAGCAGTTTTATTAAATATTTGATTTATTAAAAATTTGATTTATTAAAAATTTGATTTATTAAAAATTTCATTTATTAAAAATTTCATTTATTAAAAATTTCATTTATTAAAAATTTCATTTATTAAAAATTTCATTTATTAAAAATTTCATTTATTAAAAATTTCATTTATTAAAAATTTCATTTATTAAAAATTTCATTTATTAAAAATTTCATTTATTAAAAATTTCATTTATTAAAAATTTCATTTGATAAAAATTTCATTTGATAAAAATTTCATTTGATAAAAATTTCATTTGATAAAAATGTTGATTCATTAAAAATTTGATTCATTAAAAATTTGATTCATTAAAAATTTGATTCATTAAAAATTTGGATTCATTAAAAATTTGGATTCATTAAAAATTTGGATTCATTAAAAATTTGGATTCATTAAAAATTTAGATTCATTAAAATTTGGATTCATTAAAACTTGGATTCATTAAAATTTGGATTCATTAAAATTTGGATTCATTAAAATTTGGATTCATTAAAATTTGGATTCATTAAAATTTGGATTCATTAAAATTTGGATTCATTAAAATTTGGATTCATTAAAATTTGGATTCATTAAAATTTGAATTCATTAAAATTTGGATTCATTAAAATTTGGATTCATTAAAATTTGGATTCATTAAAATTTGGATTCATTAAAATTTGGATTCATTAAAATTTGGATTCATTAAAATTTGGATTCATTAAAATTTGGATTCATTAAAATTTGGATTCATTAAAATTTGGATTCATTAAAATTTGGATTCATTAAAATTTGGATTCATTAAAATTTGGATTTATTAAAATTTGGATTTATTATAATTTGAATTTATTAAAAATTTGATTTAGTAAATATTTGATTTAGTAAATATTTGATTTAGTAAATATTTGATTTAGTAAATATTTGATTTAGTAAATATTTGATTTAGTAAATATTTGATTTAGTAAATATTTGATTCAGTAAATATTTGATTTAGTAAATATTTGATTCAGTAAATATTTGATTCAGTAAATATTTGATTTACTAAAAAATTTGATTTACTAAAAAATTTGTTTTACTAAAAATTTGTTTTACTAAAAATGTGATTTAAGAAAAGTATGATTTACTAACAATTTGATTGATTCATTAAAAACTTGATTTATTCAAAATTGGATTGATTTATTAAAAATTTGTCCAAGAAGTTGGTACCGAATATAGTGATCAAAAATGATAAAATAGGTAATATTGAGTGAAATTATATTATAAATGAGGTATATAAATACTCAAATTACCACGTTAATACAGTAAATCTTTAACATGTCAATGTTTTTATTTTAGGTAAATTTAGTATTCAATTTGTTAAAATGTTACAGGTAACTTCAATAGATCTATATATTGGTTTATAATATTTTGGTTTATAAAGTTACCTCAACAAGTTCTAAATAATTTTATATTATAAAAATATTTATAATATTATTATAATAAACAAATAAAACCGAGCCATAACTTATGACAAGGATATTCCAAATTTCATAATGAACACTAAATTTACAATAACAAACTATTTGAATTAAATAAAAAAATGAATGAATCAGAAAATTTGAATTATCGACAAACTATTAAAAATCAAGGTACGTGTAAAATGAAAGTAGGTTTAGTTTTGAATCAACTATAAAATTTCACTTTTATTTGATAATACTGCATTGTGTTGATGAATGTATATGCAGATATCTATATTTTCAGAACAAACACTGTTATTGCATAATAAAAATATATGAAGCAAATTGTAAAACGTAGTATTGATGACCATTGATGGCACACTACAGAAACCTTTTGGAATTCCCAAACTGGAGTTTTAATCCTTGCTCTGACCAATAAACAAAAATCGTACTTATATTAGCCAAATAAATTAATTCATTTCTAGTCAAAAAAATACAGCCTTATGACAACGTTCAGAGAGCAGCATCAATACTTTTTGTGATGAATGCTGAGCATAAAGTTGCAGTAATAGAAAATATTAAATCTAGAAACTTACTTCAATTCACAAATATAAAAATCAAAAAACACTTTCACGAGTCATAATTAATCAAATATTAAATTAATACACCACAAACAACTAGAAATTTAGTGAACTTTCCAAAACTGTGTCGATCAAATCGTTACACAGCAGGGTACTGATTTAATTAGAGTAATTAACGCATAATGCTTGCACGACTAATTCATCGATTTCATAATACATGTTATCATTTCGTAAGTGATTCATTTTTTTTGTTTATTTACCTACATCATAATGACATGAATTGTAATCTATTCATAACATAAATTGGATAGTAAATCTATAAATCTGCCACAAATCCGCAATAAAAGGAAAGTTAACATTTTAACTAACAATTTGATTAAAACTTTAATAGTGTTATAAAAATATAAATTTTAGTGGGATATAAATGCTAATAAATTTATTGGATTTAATAGAACATGTAATTTATTGAAATTTTTAATTATAATTATGAAGTAAGTATAACTATATCAAATCAAAATCTTAATTCTTATATATTAAAATTGTGCAAGATCAGTTTTTTTCTACCATGATTATTCATACTATTTCTTACGAAGCGTTCAACAATATTCTGCGCAACTAGGGCATGCTCCATTTTTATTTGTCAGGTGCTTGAATAAACGAATTTAATAATTTACCAATGATATTGGATTTGATTTATGATTTTTAATCAAGTGACCATATTGGATTCGAATTGATATGGTAATACGCATTTGCTCAAAATCCACGTGCTCCAGAATTGTTGGAGCATCATCACAGAAAAAGGTGATTTTTAAGGTCAGTTCATTAAATTGTATTTCACATTTCTAGATCCACTTAGTAAGTATTGATTTATTAACTCACCGGGCAAATCGTCAGTCCAAATTAAGTTCTTCTTATGATCCAAATCGATGACGCTCGGCGCACTACACATGCACAATCACAATCACCACACCAAATAGAAAAAATCACTGTGATTGCCCTTAGTTGGGTGCGCGGCCACAAGCACTTGTCACCACGCACTTACTACTATTCGCCAAGCACCTGCTTGGTATATCCGATTGTCTGATGCCAAACGTTGACACCAGGCGCGCTTCGGTATAATTCACTAGAACCGCCTATTTTGAATGATTGAATAGTTTTGATTTTGTATCAGCGGTTTTTGGTGTTGCAAATAATTTTTATTTTGTGATACTGATCGTCTCTAAAGCCTGGACATCATATTTATAGACTTTCCAAACTACGGTGCTGCTGCCACTCGGTTTTGAAAAATCGAAAATTTTCCCAACCGAGGTTTCTTGGTGCCAGTTAAGAAATTTATTTTCAGTGTAAGACCATCCATCAAACGCGCTGCTGGAGATATATTATAAAACCAAGTGCTAGTTATGTTAATTAAATATTAGATTGTTATGTTTAATAAATTTTATGCTCTAAGTTTATTTATTAAAATCAATTTTTTTCTAGCCAAGATTTAATGTAAAATTTATTTAACTATAAAAGGTCATTCATCCAACTGGTTGCAAGGCTTTATCATAAAATTATTGTACTTGTTATTTTGGTTAAATATTATATTGTTTATTTAATAAATTTGATATAATTATAATAAATGTGAAATTGTTATATTTAATACTTTTTATATACTAAGTTTATTTATTATAATTTTTCTCGCCAAGATTTTTGTTAAACTTATTTAACCATAAAAGGTCATTCATCGAACCGGTTGCAAGAACGCTTTATCATAAAATTATTGTGCTTGTTATTTTGGTTAAATATTATATTGTTTATTTAATATAATTAGTTTATTTGATTTAATAATGATTTTCCCCAACAAGGTTTGTTGATAAGAGTTGAGAAATTAATTTAACATGAATCATCATAAATGAAATCATCAAACTCACGACGGAGCTACAATACTCATATGAATTTTTTAAACCAATTCATTAAAAGTGCATATTGATATTGTAATTTTAGTTAATTTTTAAACAAAATATTAAGTGTTTCTTGTTTGTTTGTAATTTAACTGATTTTGTGTAGTAATTTTGAATCAATTATCAAATCTATAATTTTAATTGCTTACATTTTCAAGAACTCTTACACAATGCATAAACAACATTTAACATTTAAACAATATGTGTTTTAAAAACTTAACTTGTTTGTTTTAAATAAAGTGTTATGTACTAAGGAAATAAAAAATACATATTTGAAATATATTATTGATATTGATACAACCAAAAATTGAAATACTATGTGCATTATATGCGGTGTTCCAAATAATACGCCCACAAGAAGAGATAAAATTCTAGTAATGAGACTATGGATGCTGCAAACGATCAAATTCAAATATAAGAGGCTTAAATTAATGATAAGTGAAATGAGATAAATATACTCGTACATGATTATACAATTATTGTATAAGAGTTTAAAAATAAAAAATCCAATTTGAAAATTATGGTTTTTAATTTTCAATCAAATATCGGGTATAAAAATAAATTTAAAATATAATAGTAATAAATTTTAAATCAAGATTCGGGTATTATTGTGAGCTGAGTAGTCAAATTATTCTGATATTAATTTTTTTCAGTTTTTGAGTAATTTTTGATTGATTTGGAATTCAGTCAAACTAATGCAATGAATTCTCTGTTTGTGATTTCGAATAGCCTATTCAAAGTATAAAACTTACTGTTTTAAATAATATTTAAAATGTTATAAACGATGCCTTTTGTGTTCAATGGCATGTACAAATAAATGTTTATCATTTTTTAGTATAATTTGAAATCTGTACACATAATTTATTGCATAAAGTCTATTTTGCATAATTAAGGTGACCATGTTTTTTTGAACTTAAATAAGGGATGATAATTACCTTTTGTAAGTAACTTAGCCTATAGTTTGCCTAAATTTTAAGTCGAGTACATATTTTGATATGCATAATATTTTAGATTCAAATTTTGTAAAAATAATTCTAGGTACTTATAATACATTTAGAATAAATATTCAATACTAGATGACCCAACAGACGTTGTCCCATGTTCCGGGAAATTCCAAAGGAGTCTAAATTATTTTCACTAATTTCAAAATTCCATACGAATTGGAGCACAGTAAAAAAAATGAGACCCAAAGCGCTTCATTTACTTGAGTAAATATTCCGTATCCGATGGCAAAAATATGAAATTACTAACGTTTGTATGTGAAAATGAATAGGGCTGTTTTTAGGGTTTTTTCCGACAATTATTCGAGTTTTTCTCGCCGTAAGAACCATCCTAGAACTTCAACGAACATTTTAAAAAAAGAATTGGCCAAATTGGTCCAGACGTTGCTGAGTTATGCGCTTATCAACACATTTTGCGATTCATTTTTATATATAAGATCAAAATATGTTTGATATTTCATGACGATCCGGGCAAAATACACGAAAAATAACACTTTTCAAAAAATCCGGGACGCAAAATGCAAATCCGGGACTGTTCCGAGCAATCCGGATTATGTCACCTTACAATTATGCAAACTTTATCAAACAAGTAACAAATGTCAACGATATTTCAGGCGAGTAATATCGGATACAGCATTTTGAATAATTTGGATTGAAACATTCAACAAGATTATTACACTATTTATTAACTTAAATATTATTATTTAATTGCAAACATATTAAGTTATACACATTATATAAATAAGTAAATTTTACCAACTGCTATTGGATATGAGTTTCTAAATCACAAGTTAAAAATAATAATTAGGATCAAACGCCCCCCCCCATTATTAATATCAATATTTTATAATTACTTTTTTATTTTATATAATTTAGTGTTTGAAAATAGCTTATGCATAACATAATTTAAAACAACGATCATCATAAATGTAATAATAGATTAAGGATTACTAAATATAATGATATAAATATAAGTTAATGCATTAAGGAATACAACCTAAATATAACATAAATTGTTATAAAATATCGACAGAATGAAAAGTTACGTAAATAATTAATTAATGAAAATTAGTAAGGAAATAAAATAGCTGCTGAAGAATCAACCGACGTAATCGTGCAGACAGCACGTGAACATTTTGCATGTATATTATATGGTTGCAGAAATTTGATCTATGTTATCTAACAAGACTTTAAATAACTTATGTAAAATGAACCCTTAAATATGATAATACACTTATAATTACAACTAAATGCTCTCAGTCAGTCACGTAGTCAAATCGATAGGAAAGATTAAGGGGGTCTTCTACCTTGTTGGATAACAAAAATCGATTTTTTATTTTGCATTTTTGTGGCCTAAAAAGGTACTAGAAATATAATATTAAAAGGTATCTCGAAAAATCTTAGATTTTGTTCATTTCAATGATTTTTACAGCTATTCTTGATCTTGATTGATTTATTGAAATGATTTAGCTGTACGATATGCCCAGCATATACAAATTTAATATAATATATAATGTCTACCAAGAATTAATATCTATAAAATATCAAGAGTATTAATTCCTGTGAATCTCAACATCATGAGAAATTTTTTGTATATTTAAATCCTTTAATTTTATTCCTAATGCTTTACTTGTTGACCTTTCTGAATAGTTATAAAATTTCTATCTGATAAAAAATCGCAAATACCATTCAAATGGCTACTACATTGTTCAATTTCCTCAAGTTTAAACTACAAAAACCTTGAAAACATAATTTTCACTTTAACAACACTGAACAAAAAATAATCATTTACTTCCATTATTTAAATTATTTTATTTTCTAATGCACTGATCAGATAGATAATTATTGTTTATGCCTGCCATATCTTAGTATTAATTTATAGCCACCTTTATCATAAAAAGTGTGCAATACAGAAAAAATTAATTGATCATTGTTATGTGTGAGTCCGGTGTATACAGAATAATTAACAGTCGAATGCATACATACAATGTGTTATTATTGCATTTACCAAATAGAATTCCCAGTGACATTATAAAATTACCGGCGTTTTTCTATGTGATTAATCAAATCAAAACTGACTATCGAGCAGAATGCAAATGATGCACTTGCAAGTAAACGATGAAACGTCACGCACTGTTATTTCATTGCATGTACTTGGGATCTGGCGATTTCTAATAGAGTTAGATTGTTCTTGGAAGATAATTAATTATTTTTATATTTTTTGCTAGTATAACACAATTTGATATACATATCTAATGTATTTATATATAGTTTACAAAAAAAGGGAAGAGAGGTTGGCCGTTGGAATGCCCTTCGTAAAAAAATATTGGACTAAGATCACAATATTTTACACACAGCTCAGAGAATACGTAATTCTGATCTATGATATCAGGTATTCAAATTATCTATTTGTATTTTAAATTATATTTATATTTATGTTTGATTTACAAGTGGTACCCCATAGTTCGATTCCATAAGTCCAAATGGGCACTATGATAGTTTTGTACAGAAGTACCTTGTTATTGAGAGAGATTTCAGATTTCCTCCCAAAAAGCCAGTAAAAATCGTTTATTTTGAGTTGGATTTGTTTCTTTTTATATTCAATGCGCGTTCTCCATGTCAATTTCGAATCAATGTGCATGCCTAAATATTTGACAGAATTGCATAGTGGAATTATTGAATTGTTCATGATGATAGGTGGACTGTTGTGGTGTTTTAGAGAATAAATTATGATATTGCTATATTTAGAATAAATGCACGAAATATATTACACTGAAAAACAACAAGTTACGTTATCAATTTGGAAAATGTCTAAAATTAGTGGTCCTCAATAGAGAATCAACTACCATGTCCATTTTTTATACTCAAGTATTACAGCTATAGAACAGCAACATTTTCTGATTACTGTTCAACAATGTTAAAAAAAAGGATAATAATCAGAAAATTCCAATCAGAAGAAGGTACCAATCATTTACAATTTATCAATAATTACAAAAGTATTATTATTATCATTATTTTTGGATATGACTTGATACGAATAAATCATATAATTATTTTGTATCATAATTTATAAAAGAAATGCATTTAACATAAAAATTATTGGCATAAACTTAACATTCACATTTTCAAACTAAAAGAACAATACGTCTCATCTGGTTCAACCTAGTTGGTAAACCACAAAATACTGCTAAGAAGTCTGAAGTCTAATTGTAAGCTAGGGCTGGGGTCTT